ACAACATTAAAATAACTCACCTCAAATTCGAATCTATGACTTTTACAAAATTTTTAGGTTTTTGAATAACAAAATTCGCAATTCGAAGCATTTTGACGTTTATGAGGTCAACAGATGGGTATGTACTACCCTAACCCACAAAAGCGTTTAAAGTATATTAGCAGTACGTATGTAGTACTTGATGGTAGTATGTCATGTATTACTCAACTCGGCCTCGGGCACACTGCAAGTGATTGAATACACGAATACACTCCTAGAAGTAGACACGGACAAAGTTCTCGTATCGTATTGTCTGTTATCGTTATTATAGACTGCGAAAAATTAAACAATTTAAAAAATGAATCACAGGAAATTACGTCTTTCATATAACTTTCTACGCGTAACATGTACATATATCTGTAATAGAACACGAATAACTTGTGGTCAGTTAAATCTTACTTTACATACGTTATTATAAGGGACGTAGTATGTACTATACATATATATACATACACAGTAGCTTTAAACATTTGTAAAACTGGACTAAATGCCTTGAATTTTTTAGACGGCAGAAGAACTAGCCTATTAGACAATGGCTACAATATTTTTAAAAAATTTTGCAATTACTTGAAATAACAAAAAAAAAATAAAAAACTCATGTTTTTAAACTTTTTATTTAAAGCTATAACGAAAAATTTTAAAAATGCGTTTGGTAGATCGTAGCAACTTGTGACAAAATTGAATACATATATAACCGTAAATTCTCTTTCAAATAAAGATTATCTTAAATAGATATTATCTGCATATACAATATAAAAACAGCATGTGACATTACACATTGTACGTATACATACATATGTACATATGCATGTATATTCTGTCTACAAGATCGCAAATTTTCATTGGTTTATACGTGAGATTTCGATTGGCTTCGTTGATATCTGGCTTTATAAAAGAGAAATTATTAATTTGTATGGCTGATCAAGATTTGTGTATGTATGTGTTAAATACTAGTCTTATTAATCTACAAAGTAATACGGAAATTATAAAATGTATCAGGAAATATAGAAACTGAAGCAGAATTTACAACATATGTGAACGGGGAATATGGGTTGAGTCATAAATTGCACAAGGTGTGAGTACAGTGTCTCAAAAATTGTTTCATATTTACAACATGTAATGAGTACTTATTGTATGAAAATTACATAATGTGTCCAATAATAACATGTGTTACATATTGAGCTTCATTTATTTATTTACTATTTAGAATACATAACAATTGCACTTTATTTGAAATGTTTATATTATTTTGTTGAATACGTTTTAATAAATACATATATCTATGATTAACATATAAAGTGCAATTAACTTTTTTGTCTATGCTAAGTTTATTGTTATTTAAGTAATTTATTTAATACGGCTATCACATTACTTTAATACTCAGTACTATTATAGATATTTTATTTTTAACTTGTTTTTTGTAATTGATTATAAGTTGCTGTGTAAATTTCTATATAATTTATGGGGGATATAAATACTTTAATCCTTACAGGTAAATGAGTTATGTCAATCTAAACAATTTGAAATGGATGATGTAGAGGAGAAGTAAACATGATTGACTATTCTAAATTGTAGCACTGTATGAATAAATTATCCTAGAAAATTTAAAAATGAGTAACATTACTTCGCAAGATGTATCGGTCAAATCAGTGTTAGCATTAAACAATAATGATTTAAAAGAATTTATTTGTGGATGGGGGGCTGCTGTTATTAACGTATCTATTACCTTTCCTATTAATAAAATTATATTTAGACAGGTATGTAGAAAATTATTTATTAATATTCTTAGTGATATTTGTGAGTATATAATAAGAAGATCAATTTCTTTGTTACTATTATATAGATTTTGGAAGATGTACCAGCCAATACTGCTTTCAAACAAATATCCAAAGAAGGCATACGATTGTTATATCGTGGAATTTTACCACCCCTTTGTCAAAAGACTCTATCCCTTAGTGTAATGTTTAGTATGTATGAAGGATGTAAAGAACGTTTGTACATGTTAACAAACAATGACGTGTTAGTTAGAATATTAGCAGCTCACTTTGCTGGCACTGCTGAGGCTATACTTATGCCGCTTGAAAGAGTACAAACACTGCTACAAGATTGGCGGTATCATAACAAATTTAAAAACACTTCTCATGCATTTAAATATTTATTGAAAAATTATGGTCTATCAGAATACTATCGTGGGTTAGTTCCGATTATATATAGGAATAGCTGTTCAAATCTTACATTCTTCGTTTTAAGAGAACAATCGAAACTATTAATGGGTGACCAGGAAACATTAGTAACAAGTTTCATCAATGGTGCTTTAATTGGTGGTTTTACAAGTACTATATTTTATCCAATGAATGTAATAAAAATCCATATGCAATCAAAAATAGGTGGTAATTTTCAGAAATTCATGACTGTAACTCATGAAATATATACAGCAAGAAATAGAAGTATATTATCATTTTATAAAGGTGTTCATTTAAATTGTGTAAGATCATTTATTAGCTGGGGAATCATAAATGCATCTTATGATTTCCTTAAACAAATNATTGGTGGTTTTACAAGTACTATATTTTATCCAATGAATGTAATAAAAATCCATATGCAATCAAAAATAGGTGGTAATTTTCAGAAATTCATGACTGTAACTCATGAAATATATACAGCAAGAAATAGAAGTATATTATCATTTTATAAAGGTGTTCATTTAAATTGTGTAAGATCATTTATTAGCTGGGGAATCATAAATGCATCTTATGATTTCCTTAAACAAAT